GAGCATTATTTTGGAAACAAAGCTGAACTCACTCAGGTTTCTCAACCTGACCTTCTTCATCGGGGTGTGGTCAACTCTGCGGAGCACATGCTTCGCTTTGAGAAGAAACTGCTTTGGCCAGGTTTTCTCCATTTCATTTTGGTTCATTCTCGAGAAAGTTTGAAAGTGAAAGTGAGTATGTCTGCAGAAGAACATGTGTTCTCCTTAGCATGAATCTTAAGATGGCCTGTCAGACTCATTAATCCACATCTCAATTTATCAGCTGAAGGGTTATGAGATGTTGGTGTATCCACAAACTGCTGTCATCCAGGACTCCGAATTCCCCATGTTACCTCTGCAACACTGGACAGTGCAAAATCCTGTCTTCTGGAATTCACAACTCTGTAACATGCCAACTATGGGAAAATTCTGTGCTTTTTTTTGAAAACAAGAACACTGAAATATCTGCAAATGTTTGCTCATCACATGAGCTGACATCGAAACACATGTGCATGTGTTTGTACACAGCCAAGATAAATCAGAAACTATTAAAAGCAGCTTCTTATGAATAAACGGTATGTGCAGACTGAAAGCTATTGACTGAAAATAATTGCAAAGGAAGGCTATACAAATGAAGAAAATCACATGTTAGTAATGGATAATTTATGAACAGAATAAAACGAGGAAAAATAAATCAAAGGCATGATTGAGTGTGTGCTATTCTCTGAGCTTCCTCATTGCATCTGGATCATGCTTAAAACAAATGCATTTTCTGAACACCTTTCCCTTGGGAAGTTAATACTGGATGTTTTTCTTTGTGGGTTTGTTTTTTTTTTTTGTATGTGTGTGAGTTTATATCAGTTGGAGGGAATAGAAAATTTTTGGTCCTTCTGTTTGGCATCCTTTTTGGTAACTCCATTCTTTTTCCCTCAGCATTACTTCTTTAGAATTCATTGGCAGTTAATATGGATTTCTCATTTAATAACAGAGCATTATCTCACAACATGCAAGCTGTTTTTATGTGACCAGGAACCAGCTTTTAGCTTGCCACTACTTAAGAGACAACCATGGAAGCAGAAAATTACCTATTTAGGTTCACAGTAAGATAATGTCATTGCAAAAGTTTCTCGGTGTTTAGTAGCGGGTCCCACATAAATGAGAAAGAATTAGGACTTCCAATTACCTCATAATAATGATTTTAGATGACAACAGTAAGGGAAAGAACCTTATGCATAAGCCACCTACCAGTAAAACACAGTATACATTAGCAGAAAGCAGTCTGGTCTTGACCACCATACAGTCTTGACCACAGCTTAGTGCGAAGATGATAGCTTAGTTTGACTGGGTGGACTTTAACTCCTTTAAAGCAAAAACCTATTAGTTCCTCACCACTGACTTCACTCACAAACACATACAGGCAAAGCCTGCATCCAAGGCTTTACGTACTTCTGCAAACATCTTCTCTTACTGAGGTAAGCGATTCAACTTAAAACCTTTTCCGGCTTGAATTTGAGGGGAGGAGCAGTTACATCTTGAGGGAGTGGTTCAAATTCATCTCATTGTAAGCCCAGGCATGCACAAGCTTGACTTAGAAACTGGCTCCTGCAAACCTTGTATTAATGAGGGCTGCTCCCTGATGCTTGCGTAGCTCTAGGGAGGCAGAGTGGCAGAGGGCGTAGAGCCATCATCAAAGAGAGCGCCAAGGGAGTAAGTTAGCTATTAAAATAATGTGCACATGGTGCCTCAAAATTAAAGGTTTGCTCATGAGAGAGTCAGGGAGTACCCCTATCTCACATTATCTTCAAAAGCAGCTGAATACATTGAGAATATCTCGGGATTAAAGCTCAGTCTTATACACTTCAATGCTATAACATTTTTTCCTCCTATTTTTTTTTTTCCTATTTATTTTAAATTAAACCAGGATTATTTAGACTTGGATGCATACTTGGGGGTTGGGAGGCTCAGGTAAATAAAACAGGTAAGGTATTGATTAATCAGTACACATACATAAGCCTAATTAATCAGAGTAGCAAGAGACACCTACTCCCTAACGACCTCTGAGTTAAAGATGGGTTAAAATATTTAATGTGAATTGAACAGAATGAACTTCCATGATAACAGAGGCTATAAATTAGGAGTTTTAATTGAAGCAGCAGAGTGGAAACTTTCCAAAAACCCCTTTCTAAGTTTTATTTTCCCAGGGCCATTTGAGGCTGAAGAACACTGAATTTACATTTCATTTCCATATGCACCAAGTATTGTTCTCACTCTTGATCTGCAGTTTTCATGCTGTGAGCAAACTTTGTTCTGAAACCTTGCTGAAAGTCGCCTTTTGCACTAGGGAGTTTCTTTCTGACAGACAGCAGCTGTGAATCCAGATCTAATTTTCTGTTAGAAGCAAAATTTTACCATTTGCAAAAAAAAACCCAACCACCCAACATATAAGCAGAAATGGTACTTTGTGTTCATTAAATACATCATAAGCTCTATTTACTCTTCTTATGAATGAAATAGCTTTCACAATGCATCTTAAAAGTCTTTAACACTTGCTGCTTGTTACCGATGGGGTTGTTAATGCACTTCTTGGAGGCTTCAGAAATTTGGGGCCTGATTTGGAGACAGTGTGCATATTCAACATAATAGGTGACATTAGATGTATTCAGTTGCAGATTACTGCTTCAGCAGCACTGTGTGTGACCTGAAGTGTTATTTAGTACCAGTAGAAGGAAGCCAGAAACGTCTGGGACATAGGCTGCCCTCGCCACTCCACAACCAACTCGAGTTCCTGGGAATTTTTGACCAATGAGAGATGTTGTAATGGTGCTTGAAACAGAAGAAACACGGCATTACAACACTCACTGACTCAACGTGTTCAAGGTTGCTCAGAACAATGCAAATTGTCACTCAGAAGTGATATGGAAACATAAAAAAACAGTGTTTTGAGAGTTTTGTTTCTTTGCCTGCGTAACAGCTTTCCTGCTTAAGTAACCTGACTGTTTAACCCTATAACGGAATTCAAAATCCGTCTTGCAGTCCTTATCACCATTCAGACCGTTAACCCTATAACGGAATTCAAAATCCGTCTTATCAGTCCTTATCACCATTCAGACCATGGAGAGGTTATTATAGCCCTGCTGTATCAGATTACCTCAATAAGCCAGAGGAAGAGATGAGGTGAAGAGAAATGAGAGTTTAGCCACAAGTGTCCATGCATTCCCAGCAGAGATCCCTCCTATTGGGTGTGAGTGAATGGAATCCTCTCAAGGACTTAAGGTCCTGACAACACAAAGTGTCGAGAATCTTCACCAAGTCCTCAACACTGGCAGAACATATCTCCTGATGGGGAGATGAGAACCCTTCACACGATTGCTATTTTTCCACCCAATTTAACTGTAATTACTAAAGGGAGGTTGGATAATAAACAGTGGGATGCCATCTGCAGTTGCTCTCTGTAGAATTAATTGCTGAAGAGGATAACTATCATTCAGAAAAGAGTCTGATAAAATGAGTCTGCCACTAAACATATAAAAGGACATACCCCAAAATTACAAGGGAAAGCATGCTAGCGATCGCAGATGAGGAAAGAAAATTGCCATGGTAATTGGGTACTCTGGGCTTGATTCCCTTCTCTTACACCTCTTTAGTAACAACAGAATGTTTCCTACAAGCTGGGGAAAAATCAAACTTGTTCTTTCTTTCTTGCATCAGAGTCCCTTAAATGTACTGTTGTTGCAATATTTTCATTACTATGTACATTTAGTTGAGCCTATATTTTCTAGCATTCTATGTTTTGCATAATGATTGAATGTGATTGATCAAATATTCTATGTTATTAAGTATCTAATCTTGTGATCTCATTTCTCACCAGTTAGTCCCAGGTAACATGACACTTTTAGGACAAAATTATGTGTTTCTCTATACACTGTCATTAAAACTACCCTCAGTCACTGTGTATAAATATAACTGTTTCATGCTATAGAATCATAGAATCATCTGGTTGGAAGAGACCCTCAAGATCATCGAGTCCAACCGTTTACCCTGCACTGTCAGGTGCACCATGTTCCTCAAATGATGCAGCAGGAACAATAACAAGTTGGTTTTTTTCATTTCACCCTGTGCTAAAGGAGTCAAGGTTTGCCCTGTAATCCAGGTAATGCACACAGCGCACAACTAGGCTCCATCCTGGGCTCTCCCATGGGATTCCTTGGTCTGGTCAGGAGCCTCCCCAGCCTTTGTTTCCCATCTGCAAGGACACTTTCTCAAATCTGCTTGAATTTTATCAAATTCTGAAAGCCTTTAGGTGCAGAACCTTGATCTCAGGGAAAGCCTGCAATAAATGCCCTGTGACATGAGCTGATCCATGCTCCAATAGCGCAGTTACTTATTTGCTTCACTCCTATTTCTACATGCAAGCACCCTGCGATGCCAAAGAGCCCTCGGGACAGCCTGCTTCTCCTCCCATGCCCTGCGGACAGGGGCTGTCTCCCAGCCCATCCCTCTGGAAACATCCCCGTGTTGCTCTGCTCAGGGCACTTGCTTTGGCTTGAGGCAAGCGAGGACTTGCCCATGCCTGGGATTAGGTGCTGGCTGGCAGATGTGGTACGAATCTGTGGGGAAAGGCAAAACAGTTTTATGTCAGCAGCGTGGCAATGGCAGAACTTGGTGTCTGGTCTGTCCTGTGCCCCATGTGTGACGAGTCACTGGTCTGTCTGCTGGAGAAGGTGGTTTTCCAGAGGGAAAGCTGTGATGCTGGCAGCACAGTGTAGTACCAAAAGAGATCCTTTGCTGCTTGGAGACTGATCCCGACAACACCGTGTACCTTGGTGTCGTATCATTAGCTGGGGATTTTTAGCAAGCGATTTCCATTTTCCTGTTCCCCCAGAATAATAAATGATGCTTCATCATAGCAAAAGATTCCCCAGACCCAGGAGCTTGATATAGGCAAAATAGGGAAGAAAATCTACTCATCAATGGGGTTCTTATGAGACTAATGCAGACATACTCATCTGTTGCCGTATTCAAAGTAATTTTTGTTCATTATAATCATACTATACCAGCCATCCTATCATGTAGCATTGCATTAATATTTATGGACCAAAATAAAACTGGAATGAGCTAGAACATAGTTACCCATTATTTG